CATAACCACTGAAATCCATAAGATGGGCGATGTCATTGAAATCATCATAAATGTCTTCGGTTTTAGTGTGAATTACGAAACTATCAGTATCTGTGTAAATTAACCTCACATTTTCATTATATTTCTTTTTCAATATGTCATAGTAAAAAGAATACATATGTTGTTTTGATAAATCCAATATACACATTCCAACATAAACAGGTTTATTCAGTTTTATAACGCTCTTAGCTTTTTCAACACCGATAAGGTTTTCATTAATGATATGCCTGTATTTGAAATTAGGATTATTAACGCATTTTTGGTAGCGTTCAGGAGTATCAACCAGTTCAAAGTCAATTTGGTTTCTTACATTTTGCATAGTCTTGCCATATACCGCGTTGTTCATTAATTTGTACATATCTTTCTCGAAATCACTTTTTGCATCCTTTCTCTTCTCTGTATTAAAGTCAATCCACGGTTTCAACCATTGCTTATGTCTAAACTCTATAACTCTGTTTATTTTCTTGATTTTTATTCCTTGTTTAAGATAGAATTTTAATATATCAATATGTAAAACATAATTTTGTTTGTCCATAACATTTAATATTAATTTGTTTGTTTTCTCATCTTTCGGGTCATTACCATTATTGTATTCTTTATAGATTTGTTTTTGAACATCACTTAGCATATCTGCTGATACACTCATAATTTCTGGTGCTAATGGGTAATCAGTATGTTTGTCGTGGCATTCTTTCGGATATTCTAAATCAACATCTAAAATATAACCTTTACTACTGTAATCACTATTGTAGTATTTAATGTCTTCTTCTGTAAAATTATCTTTCACAAATTTAATATTCTTATATGGTAGTTTTTTACACATTGCTAATCCATAAAGGTTATTAGCATCAAGGTATGAAATATATGAAGATGGTTTAGACTTATCATAATCTTCACCCATATATTTATTGTTAGCAATTGCTTTTTTGTAGGCACATTGACACATACCGCCTCTTAGTCCTTGCTCTATCATTTTATAAACTTCTTCATCGTGTAAAAGTTCAAGTTCAATTCCTGTTTTTAATAGCATCGCGTCCCAAGCAAAGTTAGGCAATGTGTAATAATGGGCTGGGTCTAATTCATAATCTGTTAGACATTGTTTTCTGAAATTCTCATATACATCGGTTAATAATAATACATCGGTTTCTAAATATAAATCATGATATTCACCAAGGTTTTTGATGTTAAAGTGCTTCCATATTAGTTTTGCTCTTTCATAGTCTGCGTCGCTTATATCTTCTTCACTTAATCTACTGTAAAAATGTTTCTTTTCTGGTAGTTCAGTGTCATTAAATTTATTGAAGTCATTACAATAATCATAAGGATAAACTCCCTTTTCTGTCAGTAAAAATAAATCCTTTTCATTTTTTATGTATTTGCCTTTGAAACTGTATTTGAAATGATCCTGCCAGTTGTCCCTCAATTTATTCTCTTCATATTTTGTTAATTTAACAAGTTTATCTAATGATGATGACAAGAAACTGAAACTATCCTTAAATTCAAGTCTGTTTAATGAAAATGTAATAAACTTCTCACTGTTCTGTGCTATTACTGATATGCTTTCTTTCTTTGTGTTTAGCTTTTCAAGATTAGAAATTATTAGGTGAGCATCATAGTTTTTAAGATTGTGAAAGAATACTGGTATATGATACTTTTTAAAGCAATAGTCTATATTGCATTTCATATGTGCTGCGCCTCTGTATAATCCTGTGAAGTGGCAATGGTCAGCAACTTTCTTTTTCGCTTCTACTCTGTTGTCAAAAGTGCCATTGCATAAGAAACACTTTTTAGCTTCTAAATGATTAATTTCATCTAAATCTGACATAATCATATCTTTTGGATTTTTCATTTGTTTCATTACATCGTCTCTAATATTGTTTAATGTTTCACAAAATTTATCAATACAATCTTCACCTCTATATAAAAATGGTTTCATTTCTCCACTATAAGCATTAACAAGGTTAAGCATATAACCGCTGGGTTTATGGTTCTGATAAGTCCCTTTGATGCCTTCTGATGTTTCTGTTGTTAAACATTCAAAATCACCGTAAATAACAAAGGGCGCTTTCAGTTTCTTAAAATGCTTTTCAAACTTCATTGTTGTTCCTTCTTCTGGCATTTTTGTTTGTTGAATGTCATTTGCCATACAACCTTTTATTAAGTGAGAATTTAAAAGTTTTTCTGTTGTAAAACCGTGTTGGCAGTATCTGCAACAAAAAGTTTTTCCTTTGTATTTATTAACTTGACTACCCATTAATCTATTATAATCTTTTATTAAAACATAATGTTCATTATCATCTTTTTCAATTCGTAATAGATTGATATGACAAGATGGTCTTTCAATCTTCGTTATTCTGTCTGCTCTGATGGTTTGGTTCTCATCTTCAACATAAACATTAACTGATATAGAATTTTGGTTAATTGTTTCAAATGTGTCAATGTCATCGTTGGATGCTGGAAAATTCACACCATCCCATTTAATTAGACTTTCAGTAGTTATTAATTTCTTGTAGTGTCTCATATGTTGTGGATGGTCTTTCTTGAAGACTTCATAAAATTTACATAAAACACAATATTTAAAACATAATTCATCATCATTTTGAATGTTGATACATGCTTTTTTCTTTGAAATCCATTCTGGTAGTTCCATATATTTACCTGCCCTGTTCGGGTTGTATTTATCGTAGTGGATTGTGATTTTGTTAATCTTGTTAATCTTCAATCCTGAATGTTTCAAAGGTGAGTTTTCAATTTGTAGTTCAATATCTTTAGGTATATTTTCCAATGCTTTTTTCAAGTCTCCTACATTCAAAATGTTGTATCTCCTACTCCTCATATTGTGTTTTATTTGTATATTTTCCTCAGTTGGTTCATCTTCTCCATCATCCTCTTCTTGCTGTCTAAGTTTATCAAAAATAACCTCAACATCAATCAGTAGTTTCATTGACTTTGCTTGTTGTAAAAACTCTGTTAGTTTCTTTTCTTGCCATAAAAGATATGTTAATCCTTTGTATCCCTTGAATGGTATGTTGGATATTGCATATGTGTTGGCATATCCTTTCAATGCCGAAAATGTCTCTGATGTTTTTGCTCCTATTTTTAATCTGTATTTCTGGATTGTTTTAATGCCTCTCATTGTGTTTGATGCTTTTTTTAGAAGATGAAATCGTTTGAAACCTTGTGTGTTGCTGACTTGATTGAGTTTGTTTTGAAGTGATGAGGATAATGGTTTGTCTTTGTTGTAATAGTATTCTTTGTTGTTGATGATTAGTTTTTTCAATGGTTTGTTATTCTTCCCTGTTTTTATTTGACCTTCATTATTGGATAATAGATATTCAATTACTGAACCCGTGCTGTATTCCCCTGCCATTTCTCTATACTATATATGGTATTTTCTCTTTAAGTATATTTGGGGGGCCTGGTTGCTGGTGGGTCTGGGATTGAGGTTGTAGGTGTTGTTGGTGGTGTGTTTCATTAAAGTGTCAGTTGCAAAACCCTATTTGTTGAAATACACACCCCTATGTATTGGAAAACATACTGCCTATGCATTGAAATACATAGTGTTGGAATACATACCCCCTATGCATTGGAATGCATACCCCTATGCATTGGAACGCATACCCCCTATGCATTGGAACGCATACCCCCTATGCATTGGAATGCATACCCCCTATGCATTGGAATGCATACCCCCTATGCATTGGAATGCATAGTAATGACATACATAGGGTTAGAATCCTATGCATTGGAATGCATACCCCCTATGCATTGGAATGCATACCTGCACCGTAAAATGAGATGACCTCTATCCCCCAGAAAGCTTAAAAATGGTCTGAAACCTGAACCTTGAAAATGTCAATATCTTAGACTGTTATTAAATGAAAAAAATGTAAAAAAATGTTTAGAAATGACCCTTGAAAATGTTTAAAGAAAAGACCCCTTAATATAGTAGGAATAAATGACCGAAGAAATGAAACAATGCTCTAAATGTAAAATGAAAAGGACACTTGATAATTTTGAGAACGAAAATAAAAACTGTAATATTTGTTTAGAATCAAGACGAAGATATAGACAAAAACATAATGATAAGGTAAGTCAATACAATAAAGAATATTACAAAGAACATAAAACTGAACTATTAACCAAGGCAAAAGAAAAGCGGGATGACGAATATGTAGATTGTTTCTATTGTAATGAGATAGTAAAGAAATATGATATAGACAGACACGTTAAAAGTTTAAAGCATATTTCAAATATGGAAAGAATACATAATAAAACTGACACATAATAATGTGTTTATTCATATTAATATCTTATAATATGATTAAACCCTCCTATCCCCCCAGAAAGCCGTAAAATGGTCTGAAACCCGAACCTTGAAAATGTCAATATCTTAGACTGTTTCATAATGAAAAAAATGTAAAAAAATGTTGAGAAAATTTAGGAAAATTCCCCAGAAACCCTATTTGTGTTTTGAACAAAATGATTGACTTGTTTAATTTCTTCCCTGAACCCTGAAGCCCTAACTTGGAAAAACCCTACCTCAGACGCCCTATTATAATCATTTTGGGGTAGGGTGCAGCTTTGTCATTGCTGTCGCTATTGTTCTTTTGCCGTGTTGTTACTTCTCATGTCTTGGGCATGTTTTTTACGGGTGATGGCTCTGGTGCTTGACGCGCTTGCATTTTAGCCACTGTTGGAATTACTCTTTTCCTGGTCCTGCTTTACTTTCATCACACCTTTGTCAAGCCAGGAGTTAGGCTTCGTCCTCCATCTTACTATTGGTTTCAGCCCGTGATTGTGCTTGTTGATGGCAGTTCTGTTTGTGCAGATGGCATTGTCGGTGTTGCGGCATTTGTCGTGGCCGTTGTCAATGCCATCATCATCAGCACAGTGAGTCACATATGTGGTCCATGATGCTGTTGTTCACTTCCAATTCCTTCCCCTTTGTGGCGTCTGAGGTGTTGCCAATGCGAGCGTGATGAGCCGGAAAGCATGGTCTTGGTGAACACTAAGCCCATCATGGACGAGAAAGAGGCTCCTGGCCAGAGCTGAGAGGGATAACGGGCAAGGTTGGCTCTTTGGCTTTGCTCAAAACCAGTCACAAACGGCTGTTTGGGAGGGAAACCAACTTGGGTTTCTTGAAGTCACAATGGATAAGGAAAATGATGGCGTTGCCAGGTACCACAAAGCTTTGACGGTCAAACAAGAGGGGTACAGTCGTCCACCATGAGCGCGAGAACGGGCAAAGTAGCGCAAAACGGAGTGGCGAGATCGGCTTCGTTCGGGTGAAGGAGACATTGGCAGGAATGCCAAGAGCATTTCCAGGGTTGGGAAACAAGGTAGGCTTGATCACCTGCGGAGTTGCAACACTCCGCAGATAAAGGGTAAAGGACTGGGAAAGCCAAATCGTGTTTGCCAACGTTTGCCGGAGAGCTTGGGCACTCCGCAAAGATACAACCCAACGCTTCTGTAGGATTTCTTTCTGATTTCCAAGGAGCTTTGGTGAGGTTGCATGTGGGCTTGTCCTTTTGAGGGAACCGCCAAAATGATGGGTTTCCCTTTGGGTTCCCTTTACCCACAAAGGGTCCGGAGTCCAAATGCCAAAGCGGGCGAATTGCAAAGTTTTATCAACCCTTTCGCTCCCAACCACCATCGGCCGTCCTGAATTAAGCCCGTGACAGGTGTGGCCTCTGTCAAGCCAGTATTGGATCTCAAGGCAAAAGAATCAGCAGCTGTGCGGTTCGGTTAGCCCGGTGTCACTTAGTCTGGCTGGTTGCGCCGAAGCAGCGATTTGCCACTTGGACCGCCTGACGTGCCTTGGGCCGGACGTGCTGGCCGTCAGTAAGCAGAATCTGGAACTTGGCCGTTCTGACTCATGATCCCCGCCTGATCTTTGCGATTATTTGTCCGCCCTTCCGGGTTCTCCGGGCACAGCGTAGAGGTGATGGCAGACCGGCGTTCACTTTTTCCGTGGCCCGAGCCAGACCAAGGCACTTTCTGGTGGAATAAGTTGAAGTGTTGTTGAGCGGTGCTGTCCTGCCAAAGGATTCGCTGTGTCTCGCGTGTTTGTCGCAAGACCAGGCCGGCAGCAGCCTTGCAACTCAATCGCTTGCTAATTCCTACGAGGCTGATGTCGCTCGAGTCGTTTGCGTAGGTGGCTTCAGGAAAAGCCCAAACGAATTGAGATTGCGCAGGAATGAGAGCGGCAAGGGGAGCCGAACCACTTGAGTGTAGAACGTATGCTCGGTGAGCTCAACAGGGCCGACGATCTAAAATGGAGCAACCCAGGTGGACGCGGTTTATCGTTCCTGCACCAAAGCAGTCAGTCGCAGATACAGTTAGTGGAGGGTTTTCACAGCCTTGGCAAGCACAGTTTGCTCGCCCTTCAGTGAAGATGCGTCTCGAAATGCTTAGGTGCAAATTCCCAACCCAAGGCTCCAGGCAAGAGCTGACTGTTCTTTGAACTCAAGGCAATTGCTCGTATCTGAGGATTGGGAGCAAGAGGTTGCCGCCATTCTGAGGGAGAAGCGGAGGCAGCTTGAACCAGTGATCGGGGGCAAGGCTTGCCCGGATGAGCGCCCTGTCCCAATTTTGCCTCGGTTTATCCGGTGGTCGTTGACTGAAGTGGGGTATCGCTCAGTGTTTAGCTCATCTTTTCGCATAGAAGCAGGCCCTTGTGTTTTCTGGTTTTGATGAGTTGGCAAAAGCTGGTTCAGCAACCAAAGGTGGCTGGTTTTTCTCGAGTTTGCTCGTGTGAGCCGGCTACAAATTGAAAAAGTTAACATTTTTTGTTCCCTTGCTTGCAGCGCAACAAATCTACACGCGCGGCAGACCTACCGAAACACTGAGCACGTGACACAGGGGTAGAGGTCAGTCTGAAACAGGCTGCCTTGCTGCTCAGCTTCCTTCTTGTCAGCCGAAGAAATGATGCCAACAAGTATCCACCAGGGTCTTGCGCTCCCAAATTCTAAGGTCTCCTTTGGACAGCTGCCACGCATCGTGGTGCGCGCGTGCGATAGGCATAGAGAGGTCCTTTGAACATACGATTTGAGTTGTTCGCACCAGGGCATCAGCACTTCCGGTTGAGACATTGCCAGCGGGGCAAGCAATTCTGAGCAAAACATCCCCAACCCCCAAGTCCATGATGTCGTGAATTGTCAACGTGCGTGTTAAGACGTGCAAATCTAACACTAGGATGGATCTTCAAAAACTACGTGAACTAGTGTCTTCAGCATGGCAAGTCTTTTTGCATCTAGTTCTACGGCAACCTGAGTAAAGTAGTTTTGCTCGCTTGAAGAATACTTCATCCTCCAAAACCAGGGGCCAGGAATCCACACACACACACTCTCACGAGGATCTGCTTGATTCATTTCCATTCTTTTCAAGCATCGTTCCTCTCAATGGGAAAAATGGGAAGGTACCCCTAGAGCCAAGAAACCTTGTCAAAAAACAGCCTTTTGTTTGTTCTTTTTGGCACAGAGAACGAACATCCCTCTTTCCCTCGCAGGGAAGGTGGCCTTCCTAGCGCGACGAGATTCGAGTCATGAATGGATTCACTAAGCCAGGTGGTTTCGAGCTACGCCTGCCTTTTTTGGTCATGCACGCAGCAAGCACGCAGCAAGCACGCAGCACATCGCGCAAAGCTTTTGCCACTGTCGCCAGAGAGGCAAAACTCCGAGGTGCAGCTTGCACAAAACAGCCCAATGACAGATTGCCATTTCGTGGCTGAAATTCAGACCCGCCGGAGTCAGTCGGACTTTTGGCACGCCTCACAAATCAGCCCAAGACTCGCCATTTGTGTACCCTTCAGGCTTGCGCGAGGCTGGATAGCGCGAAAGTAAAACTCTATCGGACATGGCTGGCATCGGCCAGGATTTGGCGTGCGTTTCTTGTTGCTTATGAAACAGGCACCTTGTATTCCCCGAGACTGGAGCTACTCGTGCAGATTAGGGGACTTGCAACTTTGTGTCTTCTCGATCTCTGGTTTGTTTCTATTTGAGAAAACCTATGATCTCACTATTCGCGTCATGGTGCCCTTTGCCACGCGACGCATTGCGACCCAGCCGAACGCCTTCGCGCTCATTCCTGTTTGCGCATGAGGCCTTGGTACAACTCAGGTCAGCGTTTCCGATGCTGCCAAGTAGTCAGCCTTTGTCAAGTCAAGGTTCGGCGGGGTGTTTCAACTTTGTCTCTAAATGTGTCAGTGTGTGTGTGTTTGTCAAAGCTTGGCTGCTTGTACTCTCCGCTCTTCTCCCTCCTCTTTTGGTTCTTTTCTTTTCTTTTTTCTTTCTTTTCTCTTTTTTTCTCGTTCTCTCCAAGGGACAGCCAGCATCTGGCTTCCGAATACGCTCAATATTAAATGCAGAGTTCCCAGCTTAATCCGTACAGGGCCTACACAAAGCATCTCCTCAGCACGCTCTACTGACCTTGCCTCCGCACTCCGAATGAATCGGTCAGCGCAAATCACAAAAGACACAAATCTCAAGGCGGAGCCAAATTGCGTCATAGAACCCAAAGTTCAGAGCATGTACAGTATCCCAGTTGGCCAGCCACCCCGGTAGACAATGGGCGCCAAAAAATCGGGGCGTATCATTTGTTTTAGTGGGACACCCACCAAACGAAAAGGGGAACAAGGTGCCACTGAACAACAGAACAACAGAACAGCTGGGTTTGCATGTTTCAGAATGGCCAAGCATCATGTGGTGTACAGCCTCGTCGAGTCAAGAGGCACATGATTCCGATACACACCTCGAAGCAACCTGCAAGATCACAACCTTGTTGCTGATTTCGTACAGACAATTGATGATCGATACCAAGAAGATGCTGTTTGTTGTCTGTTGGAACTCATTCTAAGAGGAGCTTTCTGTTTCTAGCTGCTCCGGAGAGTCCAGGGAAGGCTGCAAGCGCAAACCGTACGCGCAAACAGAAGCCCCAGTTCAACTTGGAGGCGATTCCCTCACCTTAAACGCCTCGTTTTCCACAACACTTTGCCTGTTCACAGCTCTCCTTTGTGTTGCTTGCGCAGCTTTTGAAACAGGTTCCCTGTTTCACGTGAATGCCCGATATGTGGTACAGAAGGCAGAGTTGTTGCTTCTTCTTTCATTTGACAGTAGACTCCCGGAGGACTCTCTTTCGGAGATTCGCGGCATTACTTGACGAGTTGCTTCCTTGGAAAGCACACTGCTTTCTGTGGAACGCGCGACGGAAGCCCTCGGGCTTTGCCTTCTCAGCAAAGTCAGAAGGCACTGTGACCCCGAGGAAAACCACGTGCATCCACACATAAAGGTACTCCGCAAAGCTCGGCACGGCGCTTTCCCGGGGCCACCGTGCCCTGGGGAAGGCTCGGGGATGGCTCGGGAGCGGGGTGGTAACCGCAAAAAGTACATGAGGCACAAGCAGACCTTCCGCTCGCGCGAGTCTTGCGCGAACCACAAGCTGCAACCGGCTTATGCCAACGAAAAGGCTCGCCCAAAGAAAACTCTGGATTCAGCTTGAGCGGTAGACTCTTCACGTGGGATCTCCTTCTGCCAAGCAGCTTTACGAAACATGTGGGTGGTGTGTGTGTGTGGGTTTTTTAGGCCCCCCCCATCCCGCTCCAAAAGAAAAGCAACAGCAGATGGTGGTCCTCTTGGCTTCCCTTTAAAGCCATCCAAAAACGGGGCGCCCTCGAAAAAACACAAAGCGTGCTCCGCCCAAGTTGTTTCACCCCATGGAGCCCTTCCAGCCCAGTTTCTCGCCGAGGCAGCACCTCTACTTCCACCTCAACGAGGTAGAGCGGGTCCAAGTGGGCGCAGTCCTTTTCAGGACACGGCAGAACAAATCAGAAGTATCTGCCACAATCAGCCCAAACCACGGACATGTGCATACATAATCCATATGTAAGTGTATATATATATATGCATAATTATATGTAGAATACGATATACCGTATTATATACACATTTATGTGTATACATATACATGTGTTACATGTGTACTGTATGTCAATTGTGCCCCACGGCCATTCGCGCCAGCGCCGAACGCCGCGAGGGCCTCTTCGGCAGACCAGGTCTCCTCGCCCTGGACGGCCTCGGAGCTGGAGGAGCGATGCTCCCAATCTCGTGGGTTCGGTGCCAAACTTCTAGGGTTCCAAAGAGTATCCGTGTGGGATCGAGGGGTTTATCCCCATACAAGGGAATCTGTCCCTGTGTGTGGGGGGGGGTTAGTCTTTGGGAAGCATTTTCTGTTGTATGGGAGAGCCTTCCAAACTTGCCAGGGGGGGTTCAACCAGGCAACCAAATGGGCATAAACCAGACCTTCAACACATTCCATCGCAAGTTGAGCCCTCCTGGAAGTGACTCGGCCGCCAAGGAGCTGAAATCGGATTTCACCAGAACGAAGCATGACACTTTTCGGAATAAAATGAGCAACCAGGATGCTCTGTCAATGACAAGATCAATGTTGCGATCCTTTGCCTCCGCTGTTCTGACTCTGTGGTTTGGCCACTTCACACCAACTTGGTACCAATGCGGCCACCGGCAGTGCCAAAAATGTGCAGCAGTGGCAATTGTTGGCCATGCCCGATGCGCATGGCTGCATGTATCCCTGCTTGTGTATTTGGATGTTTGGACGGGAAGATCCAGGGGTGGAGAAGGAGCTTTCCCACAACGTCTATTGCATGTATTGACATTGTTCGCCTCAGTGAACTTGCATGCTTGCCAAGAAAAACGGGAAAGTGACCTTTGGTTAACAGTCAAGTCAAGCAGCACTTTATGGTCGTGTTGCCGGAGCACATGGGTGCCCTTGATGCGCCAAAATGGAGGAGATGTAGGTGTAGTCCGCGGGAAACCTAGCATTTGGCCAGGATACTGAGTATTTCTGGGGCGCGTACACGAAGCTGGACAACTTCTACGCGAAATCAGAGCAGCTGGAAAGAAGAAAGGGGCGGGCTCATGTTGCTACTCTGTTTGTTGGTTGCCCAGACGTACACTGTGCAATCAGGAGCAACGACAGTTTGCCGCATCTTGAGACCGGAACATGTGTGTCACACTCACAGCTCTCATCTGAATCTGCCGGGGATAGACAGCGCGGGCAGATGCGATGTGCGATTTTTAGCAAGCAAGCAATGCCCGACAACTGCTTCTTGCAGAGGCCCTGCAAAGGCAAAACAGTTCTGCAATGAAGGGTTTCCTTCCTGGGCAGTTGAACATGGACGGCCCTGGTTCAGTTTGGTTCTAATCATTTACCAGTGGAATCCATCTACTTTTCTGACCTATGAAAGCCCCTGACTGGAGACTCTCCTTCGCACCAGCAAAAATTCCATCATGGCTCCGGAAGGTGCAACCCCATCTTTGAGGTCCGAGTTCTTTCGATGAACTCGGTACCGTACCTTCTTTCCTTTACTGGACATGGGAAACCATAGAGAGTCTCCTACTTTGTGTGGGAACATTTGGAGAGGGTCCCATGCCCCTCCGAAGTGGAGCATAGGCTGTTGGGAATGTTGAAGGACACCATTTTTTCCCTCAACTGGGCACGCATAGACACTGGGCAGTCTTTGTAGACCCAACTCACAAGAGGTTTGTCTACATGTTCAGACGCTTTCTGCGGGCACATGCATGCCGGACAATCCGACCGCAAGAAGTCAACATGGAGCTGACCATAAATCGATACCTATCGAATGTGCAGAACCGATATGGGGTCTACCTTGAACCAATACCGTTGTCATTCTGACTGTTGCTCATGCATGGTTTGCTTCCTGTGTCCCCTTTGCTTACGACCCATCGATGCTACGCAAACGGGTTGGGTTGGCCCCTGCGCGCCCGCTAGGGATTGGCTCCTGCCGAGCAAGACGCCGCAGGGCATCAAGTACGAGAAGAGAGATAAGGTCCGCTTCCTCTCGCAGTCCTGGGGCATCCCCAAGGAGTGCCTCCGCTGCCGCGCAAACGTATGCCTTCAGAAGAAGCCTGGGTTGGAGGCATTGGTTTTCCTGTAGAAGAGGACGAACAAGTGTTTGCCTACTTCTTCATTGGCCAGCAAACGTACGTGTTATATCTTGCTCTGATCTCCGTTTGCTACTACTAGGGTACTCAGCCCACGGAAGAAAGCACGACTTATGGCAAGCTTGACGCTTTTGGTTGGTACTCATTTGTAATTCCTCATTTTGGCAACCTGTAGGTGTCTTTCTCCTTGTGCGAGGCCCAACCACGTTTCACCTTTTGCTGGCACGGCGAGTCGTCGCCAGGAGTGGGATGAGCTGATGGGGAGCTGCAGCTATGCCCAGGCCGGGATGTTTGAAAGGAACGAAGGAACCCCGAAGAATCAAAGAAGTCACCGACTCTCCTGCAGAGTAGCATGAAACCTAAAAGCGGAGGCGAATTTGCCGCTTCGAGACTGGGTGCCAGAATGGCATCCTCGCTAAACGGAGTTTGAAGGCACACCCCGAAAAGTCATTGGAAAAGCCGCTCAAGCAAGGCTCGCTGTTAAAACCCTCAAATTCTGCAAATCCCTCAGCTTACTTGGGATCCCTGAAAGACTTCCATGCAAAAGGCGCATCCTCCCTAACTGCCCCCCAAAAAGAAGGGCTGGACATCCGGTTCAACGTGTGCGCTGCGGTTCCCCGCCGAACCTCGGAGACTCGGCGACTCGGCGACTCGGCGACTCGGCGACTCGCAGAGGCCAAGGCTGCGGAGATTTGCTGCGTGTCGAAGGACCTGGCGGCAAGGGATCTGGGCTCCACCAGCAGGCGCTGGGACGGGCTTGGGGCTTGGGGCTTGGGGTCTGGGGACGAGGAAATTAAGCAGAGGGAGCGAAACCGAAGCAACAGGCGTAGCCAAACGGGTCAAAATCCAAATCGTACCCCCAGTGAACATCCCAATCCCCACTAAAGTAGGTTCCAAAATGGGTGGTGAATTCACCTACCCCAAAATGGTACCAAAACGGTTTTGACAACCACAGCCGTCTATCCTGGGACCCCAAGTAAAGTGTAAACACTCGTCTTGGGGATGGAGGCAATGCGCACAGCCAGGGCTTCGACTCCCCTGGACCTGGCAGCACGGAATTGTGTGATCTTTCAACCCAACTGTACCCCGATCTGCCCATTTCTCACCTGGCAGGTGGAAGGAGGTCTTCTACTGGGTGGACAAGTGCTGCATTCCGCAGCTTGGGCAGCAAAATAATTGCGAGAAGTCAAGAGTCCCGCGCCAGAATTACTACCTGCACTAACCTGGGGCGCCAATCTCTGATGCCAAGTCCAACCAATTCAGGCCATATCCCGAAGCTCTGGCGCGGCGGGCCTTGTGGTTTGCCAGTACCGCTCACGCACCGGCTACGAGTCATGTGCGCTTTTTGGGCTACCCTCGCACCCTTGGTAAAAAAGAGTAGTAAAAAGTAACATCCAATTTCGATCAGGGCACATCTGTTGAGTCGGTTGCCAGTTTTCTGCTTGTCTCCTGTGTGCGTGCGGAGGAGCGCTGGTGTGCGCTTCCTCTCCCAGACCGGGCTCGCACGTTCATTGAAGTGACCCTTTTTTGGTGTTGTCATGAAAATCACATTTTGGAGCATGCCCGCAAGAAATTTTTGGTTGCGCGGGTGCACTCACGCGGGTGTGTGTGTGTGTGTCACTTCCTGGGCTCTGCGAAGCTGTATTGCAGGTTGATAAGGAAGCACGTTTCACCCAGACCATCATGCTGCCAGACCAGTAGTGATCTCACTTGGGGCTAAAGAGGCCTCTCTTTCAAGACTCTGCTTTTCCTGGTTGTTCTCAGTTCGTAGTACATATTCTATGATTGGGAATAGAGCACATGGGTTGGGTTCCGAAGCAAACACAGCGCTACCTGTAGGAACCAGATTTGGGTCGCGCAGCTCAGGCAAGGCGACCAGGAGCTCACAGGTTGGTGCGTGAACTTGTTGGAGGAGCGAGTCACCAGGGCCTGTGAGATGTTTACCAAACTCGAGCGAGTCACGCTTTTCCCGTGTTTGCTATGGTTTGCGATTGTCGCGGGGGTCTTCCGGCTTGAGAGCATTTCAAGTTGTCACAGTTCTCACTGCCTTTTTCTTCAGGTGAATGCACACACACACACACACCTTGCTACCTCGCTGTTTCTCGAGATTAGCAAGTCTGCGAACCTGTTGGAGCACAACATGACTCATGCCACTTGGCGCGCCTTGCTTCGCGAGGAGTACATCATTTTCTGCGACGGTTTGGTGGTGCTGGTTCCATGGACCTACTTCACCAGGCTTGGGATTCCAGTCACAGCCACGGCCAGTCACTTGCATGTTCCGGTTGGAGAAGAACATCGGAGAAGTGTGCCGGGGATGTTGGGATCGCAATTCTCATTCCCAGCAAATGCGATGTAGCGCTCTTCGGGGATGGACATGGCCGCAAAGGAAGGCTGTAGCATCCTTTGTCCCTTCTGGTTGGGTGGGAAACCGGCAAAACAAAACAACAGATCAACCCCCAGTTCGGGCTCCCTCGGGTAGAATCCTGAGTCACTGGTTGCAACTGGGGCAGCATCCTGAGAGACCTCGACGTTCTCCAGGCTTTGGTGTGTCTACGAGTGGGTATGCTTCTTGCTGGTCCACAGCCCCATGGACATCGAGATCTGCGCGGACCCCTTCATGCGGGACAGCACCATGCCGCTCTTTTTGGATGCCATCGGCAACTTCAAGTTGGCGAACTGCCAGTGCTTCCGCGAGGCAAGTTGTCGAGTGAGGTGAGGGAAGAAGGATGCGGAAGGGGTAGGAGACAGGTGAGGTGAGAAAAGGAAGGGTTGGACTATTAGCACATTAGAATACAGATGCGCTTGGTTGTCTTGCGGTCCCAGATTGTGGGTACTGTATGGCTAAGGATTGCACCAACATAGGAATACCTAGCGGCAATGCCATGAAGGACAGAAGAAGTGATCATGACTCGGAAGTGCATCTTCTATTTGTGAAGGATGAATGCTGCGTCATCATGTCACGTTCAGATTCAAGATTCTGCAGGGACCATGTTCAGCTCGAGTTACTTTCGACATGTTTGCTTCGCTCTATATTATGATATATTATGGCAGGTGAATCATCCGTTCAATGTACAAACTATTGCACCGCTTGTTCCAGTTCTGTCCCACTGCATTTTGTCATGTGGTTTTGTCTCGACATCGGGGGACTTGCCAAAATGATTGGTTTCAATTAGATTTCCTTTGACACGACCAACAAAGGCTATCATCCAAAGCTGCATCTCCTGTGCGAAACAAGTTGCGAGAACGGCCACAGTATTGAGCCTGCGGGACCGGTTCCTGGCTAGTAGATTGCCATGACGACTGGAGCTACACTGCTACAGCTAAGTGACAGTCACCACATTGCGCTTGGAACAGCGATGCTCATTTCAAAAGCGGATTCATGAGGAAAGAGAGAGAGAGAGAGAGAGAGAGAGAAAAGAGTTAAAAAGATGAAGATATGAGTGAAAGACCAAACCGAGCACCCCCATGCACGAGGATGACCGGCCGGTCCTCTTCAACAAGGTGGCCGCTCGCCTGTATCAAAAGGTGGTAGGCACCTTTTCCTCGGATCAAAAGGCTAAAACGGGTGCGATGTTTGTAATGGGCGATGTGGACATCATAGTTTTTGTTGGTCCCGATTCATGTCCACCAACCGCTTTTGAGGTGGTCCGACACTTTGATGTCATACCACAAGTGGACGCGGATTGCGGATACCTTATGCACAAATGGAGCATTCTCTCAGCCTTCCTGGAAATACCCTTCGTATGTGAAGCCTGACTCGCTTGACCAATTGGACCGACGGGCAAACGACGCCACAGGCCGCAGGCTTTGGTAGGCTTCTAGTCTACAGTTTCCCTCTTGCGGTTGGCCTTGCGGATGTGAAAATCAAGTCTTGCCGAGGCAGAGTACTACAAGTCCGTGGCGGCTTGGCTAGGGAGGGACTGGGCAAGGTTATGGCGGACCTCTGTGGAACCCTTTTCTTCCTTACACGCATCTCCAAAAGTCAGGCCCGGGCCAAACTGTCCACGCCTGGCCCCTATGGGCCCAGCGGAGCCAGGAATGCCACTGCCGGATGTGTGTTGTACTTGTAGCACATCAGGTTTCTCAATCTTGCATGGCATGCTTGCGATCCGCTTGAGGTGCTTCTGCGTAATTGTTGTTCACCCAGTGCTTTTGAACGTTTTGCTTCAGTTGTTTCTACCTGTTTGACGTGCAGGGTGTTTGCCTATCAGCCAAGCCGGCGTGTGGGAAGACGCTGCGCTTTTGCCCTCGGGCCTTTGGGATCCGTGCGGGGGTTTGTCCTGGGCTTGCCATACAACCCCCTTTGGGAGTCCTCGCAGTGACGATGTATCAAGGTTTCAGGTCGGATTTTCCACAACACGCCCAATATGAAGGCCACAGAATGACGCGAAGCTGGAGTCACACCTGCCCCGTCTGAGCGGCTACTGCTGGCTTGCTTGTAGAATTGGGAAGCTTGATCATTGTATGTATTATGTGGCATACACACGGATACGCTTAGTACACGCATTATCAGCAATGAATAGAGAGAGAACAAATAGGTTTGACAGAGAAGGGGTTCCCCCATCCAAGCATCACTCTACCTTTCTAGGGCTCCAGGGGTTGATTCCCCCCTTTCAACCATCGTTCTTTCATTCCCCAGCCGTTTTTGTCCGCACTTGCTGCCCCCTTTTTTTTGGTTGCAAGGCCGAAAACAAAAGAAAGAACAAAACCGCCGGACCAAAAAATAGCAAGCCATGGAAGTTGGTCCCAAAACAGGACCCAAGTGGAAGTCCAAAAAGCCATTTGGAAGTTGGTTTTTGTGCCCAAATTGGAAGCTTCCCTTAACTTGCCCCCCCCCCCCAAACCAAAAAAAGAAGGACCCCAAAAACGAGGTCAAAACCGCGCCATGGCCGAGTTGGTTCACCCAACAAAGGAAGTCCAACAAAAAAATAACCGCGGCATCGCCGAGTTGGTTCGAAGTGCCCGAGGAGCACTTCGAGGTCTTTCTGAAGTTCACGGCCATCGCGCTCTTCGCGCGGTGCACGGCCCAGCGGAGGTCCGGGAAGGCCACCAGCGCCCTGGAGCCCTGGAGATACCTCGCGGAGCGCCAAGGCGGATACACGTCAAGCACCATGGGGGGGGTTGGTGCTTTGTCCCCGGAGGCCGGAGGCATATATATATATATATATGTGTACATATATATATATACATATATATTGGCAAGTAAACATACCTAACTGGCCATCAGGTCGTTCAAGTGTCGCCTTTTGCATTTTTTCTCCAAAACGATCAGGTCTGAGGTTCTAGAGGCTGAATGATTCGATGTGCTTCTGGGTGAGGGACTTGCTCCACTTCCCTTTTGTTCCAGGCTTGCCCAATGTCAACAGGGCTTGGGCGCTGGTCTTCTTCGCCTGGGGGAGTGAAGGGCTCGGGCGTGGGCACCAGGCCTGTGAGCGGCTCTGTCAGGGGGGTAAAGGTCAAATGCCGCCTTCTTTGAATTGGAAAGCCCGAATCCGGCGAAAAAGGCTTTCCGTTATGATACCCCTGACCCCCCTAAAGGCATGTATACATACTTTAGAGCCTCCGGCTCAGTCCGCCGACATTGTCCTCTCCCTTTTCTCCTTCTTCCTCTCTCCCTTGTCTCCCTGGTGTGTTCTGTCGTCCTCTCTCCCTCCCTCCGCTCCCCATCCTCCCCATCCCCCCAAGCCATTCTCTCCCCAATCTCCCTCTCTCGTATGTATGTATGTATGTATGTATGGATGCATGTATATATGTATGTATGTATGTAATGTAAGTATATATGTATGTATGTATGTATGTGTGTGTATGTAATGTATGTATGTATGTATGTATGTAATGTAATGTAATGTAATGTAATGTAATGTAATGTAATGTAATGTAATGTAATGTAATGTAATGTAATGTAATGTAATGTAATGTAATGTAATGTAATGTAATGTAATGTAATGTAATGTAATGTAATGTAATGTAATGTAATGTAATGTAATGTAATGTAAATGTAATGTAATGTAATGTATGTAATGTATGTAATGTAATGTAATGTAATGTAATGTAATGTAATGTAATGTAATGTAATGTAATGTAATGTAATGTAATGTAATGTAATGTAATGTAATGTAATGTAATGTAATGTAATGTAATGTGTAATGTAATGTAATGTAATGTAATGTAATGTAATGTAATGTAATGTAATGTAATGTAATGTAATGTAATGTAATGTAATGTAACGTAACGTAACGTAACGTAACGTAACGTAACGTAACGTAACGTAACGTAACGTAACGTAACGTAATGTAATGTAATGTAATGTAATGTAATGTAATGTAATGTAATGTAATGTAATGTAATGTAATGTAATGTAATGTAATGTAATGTAATGTAATGTAATGTAATGTATGTAATGTAATGTAATGTAATGTAATGTAATGTAATGTAATGTAATGTAATGTAATGTAATGTAATGTAATGTAATGTAATGTAATGTAATGTAATGTAATGTAATGTAATGTAATGTAATGTAATGTAATGTAATGTAATGTAATGTAATGTAATGTAATGTAATGTAATGTAATGTATGTATGTAATGTAATGTAATGTAATGTAATGTAATGTATGTATGTATGTATGTATGTATGTAATGTATGTATGTATGTATGTATGTATGTATGTATGTATGTAATGTATGTATGTATGTATGTATGTAATGTATGTATGTATGTATGTATGTATGTATGTATGTATGTATGTATGTAATGTAATGTAATGTAATGTAATGTAATGTAATGTATGTATGTAATGTAATGTATGTATGTATGTATGTATGTATGTATGTATGTATGTATGTATGTATGTATGTATGTATGTATGTATGTATGTATGTATGTATGTATGTATGTATGTATGTATGTATGTATGTATGTATGTATGTATGTATGTATGTATGTATGTATGTATGTATGTATGTATGTATGTATGTATGTATGTATGTATGTATGTATGTATGTATGTATGTATGTATGTATGTATGTATGTATGTATGTATGTATGTATGTATGTATGTAATGTATGTATGTATGTATGTATGTATGTATGTATGTATGTATGTATGTATGTATGTATGTATGTATGTATGTATGTATGTATGTATGTATGTATGTAATGTATGTATGTATGTATGTATGTATGTATGTATGTATGTATGTATGTATGTATGTATGTATGTATGTATGTATGTATGTATGTATGTATGTATGTATGTATGTATGTATGTATGTATGTATGTATGTATGTATGTATGTATGTATGTATGTATGTATGTATGTATGTATGTATGTATGTATGTATGTATGTATGTATGTATGTATGTATGTACATATGTATGTATGTGTATGTATGTATGTATGTATGTATGTATGTATGTATGTATGTATGTATGTATGTATGTATGTATGTATGTATGTATGTATGTATGTATGTATGTATGTATGTATGTATGTATGTATGTATGTATGTATGTATGTATGTATGTATGTATGTATGTATGTATGTATGTATGTATGTATGTATGTATGTATGTATGTATGTATGTATGTATGTATGTATGTATGTATGTATGTATGTATGTATGTATGTATGTATGTATGTATGTATGTATGTATGTATGTATGTATGTATGTATGTATGTATGTATGTATGTATGTATGTATGTATGTATGTATGTATGTATGTATGTATGTATGTATGTATGTATGTATGTATGTATGTATGTATGTATGTATGTATGTATGTATGTATGTATGTATGTATGTATGTATGTATGTATGTATGTATGTATGTATGTATGTATGTATGTATGTATGTATGTATGTATGTATGTATGTATGTATGTATGTATGTATGTATGTATGTATGTATGTATGTATGTATGTATGTATGTATGTATGTATGTATGTATGTATGTATGTATGTATGTATGTATGTATGTATGTATGTATGTATGTATGTATGTATGTATGTATGTATGTATGTATGTATGTATGTATGTATGTATGTATGTATGTATGTATGTATGTATGTATGTATGTATGTATGTATGTATGTATGTATGTATGTATGTATGTATGTATGTATGTATGTATGTATGTATGTATGTATGTAATGTATGTATGTATGTATGTATGTAATGTATGTATGTATGTATGTATGTATGTATGTAATGTAATGTATGTATGTATGTATGTATGTATGTATGTATGTATGTATGTATGTATGTATGTATGTATGTATGTATGTATGTATGTATGTATGTATGTATGTATGTATGTATGTATGTAATGTAATGTATGTATGTATGTATATGTATGTATGTATGTATGTATGTATGTATGTATGTATGTATGTATGTATGTAATGTATGTGTATGTATGTATGTATGTATGTATGTATGTATGTATGTATGTAATGTATGTATGTATGTATGTAATGTATGTATGTATGTATGTATGTATGTATGTATGTATGTATGTATGTATGTATGTATGTATGTATGTATGTATGTATGTATGTATGTATGTATGTATGTATGTATGTATGTATGTATGTATGTATGTATGTATGTATGTATGTATGTATGTATGTATGTATGTATGTATGTATGTATGTATGTATGTATGTATGTATGTATGGTATGTATGTATGTATGTATGTATGTATGTATGTATGTATGTATGTATGTATGTATGTATGTATGTATGTATGTATGTATGTATGTATGTATGTATGTATGTATGTATGTATGTATGTATGTATGTATGTATGTATGTATGTATGTATGTATGTATGTATGTATGTATGTATGTATGTATGTATGTATGTATGTATGTATGTATGTATGTATGTATGTATGTATGTATGTATGTATGTATGTATGTATGTATGTATGTATGTATGTATGTATGTATGTATGTATGTATGTATGTATGTATGTATGTATGTATGTATGTATGTATGTATGTATGTATGTATGTATGTATGTATGTATGTAATGTATGTATGTATGTATGTATGTATGTATGTATGTATGTATGTATGTATGTATGTTGTAATGTATGTATGTATGTATGTAATGTATGTATGTATGTATGTATGTATGTATGTATGTATGTAATGTATGTATGTATGTATGTATGTAATGTATGTATGTATGTATGTATGTATGTAATGTATGTATGTATGTATGTATGTATGTATGTATGTATGTATGTATGTATGTATGTATGTATGTATGTATGTATGTATGTATGTATGTATGTATGTATGTATGTATGTATGTATGTATGTATGTATGTATGTATGTATGTATGTATGTATGTATGTATGTATGTATGTATGTATGTATGTATGTATGTATGTATGTATGTATGTATGTATGTATGTATGTATGTATGTATGTATGTATGTATGTATGTATGTATGTATGTATGTATGTATGTATGTATGTAATGTATGTATGTATGTATGTATGTATGTATGTATGTATGTATGTATGTATGTATGTAATGTATGTATGTATGTATGTATGTATGTATGTATGTATGTATGTATGTATGTATGTATGTATGTATGTATGTATGTATGTATGTATGTATGTATGTATGTATGTATGTATGTATGTATGTATGTATGTATGTATGTATGTATGTATGTATGTATGTATGTATGTATGCATGCATGCATGCATGCGTGCATGTATGTATGTATTGCATGTAATGTGTGTAATGTATGTATGTAATGTAATGTAATGTAATGTATCTATGAGTAATGTAATGTAATGTAATGTAATGTGTAATGTGATGTGATGTAATGTAATGTAATGTATGTATGTATGTATGTATGTATGTGTAATGTATGTATGTATGTAATGTATGTATGTATGTATGCATGTAATGTATGTATGTAATGTAATGTAATGTAATGTAATGTAATGTAATGTAATGTAATGAAATGTAATGTATGTATGTATGTATGTATGTATGTATGTATGTATGTATGTATGTAATGTAATGTATGGTAGTATGTATGTATGTAGGTAGGTAGGTATGTATGCATGCCTGCATGAATGTATGTATGTAATGCATGTATGCATGTATGCAATGTAATGTAATGTAATGTATGTAATGTATGTAATGTATGTATGTATGTATGTAATGTAATGTATAATGTAATGTAATGTAATGTATGTATGTATGTATGTATGTATGTAATGTGATGTAATGTAATGTAATGTGATGTTGTGTAATGTAATGTATGTATGTCTGTATGTCTGTCTGTATGTATGTCTGTATGTATGTATGTATCCTTGCACTTCCCCTTTGCTCCCCAGTATTTCCCGCAAAAAACACGTTTTTCCAGCGTTTTCGCAAAGATGATGTCCAAAAACACAGAGTTTTTCCAGATTTTCGGCAAAAGGATGCAGGAAGCCCAAGCCAGCAAAAAGCCGGCAGGGGGAATCGAGCCTGGGACCCCTGTTTTGCGACACTGGGTCCCCGAAGACTACGTTTAGTGGAACGTCATCAAATTGCCGCGCGGTCCTTGGGGGGGGGGGGTTATCCTCTATCCTCTCTTAGGTGTCCGACACGCCGAGCAATGTCGGCGGATATATATATATATATATGTATATATATATATATACCCCAGCAACCAGGCAACGACCCGTCCCAAAAAAGGGCTTCGGCCAAGGGGCCGGCCCTGCGACTCGGCAGGATTTACGGTGCTGGCGAAAAAGCTGGAGGAGATGAAGTGCCTCGGGACAAAGAAAGTATCTTGAAGATCCCAGCTCAATTCGCCTCTTGTGCCCCTTGTGCCCCTTGTGGTGCTTGTGCCCCTTGTGCCCCTTGTGCCCCTTGTGCCCCTTGTGCCCCTTGTGCCCCTTGTGCCCCTTGTGCCCCTTGTGCCCCTTGTGCCCCTCGTGCCCCTCGTGCCCCTCGTGCCCCTCGTGCCCCTTGTGCCCCTTTGGCTGTTTTTGGGTTTCTTCCACTTTGTAGGGGTGCAGTACGTGCGGCCCGAGGGGGAGGCGGGCTGTGTGCCTTTGACACACAGTACGGGGTGGGCAACCCTCAATGATTCAGCTTTTCAACTCTTCATCGCCACAATGGCCACACATTTCCTCATCCATACCATTATTCAACACCTTTCTGGGATTTGGACCGTGAACGGGATGTAATCCCCTGCCGGTCTTCTTGTGCCTGTCAATGTCACCCCCTCATTAATCCACAGTCGGCACCCGACCGTTTAGTATCATACAACCACTCTCAACCCATCAGCCAATCATTGTCGACAATCGACGCCCTGCAGCCAGCGTATTGTTGTCCGAGTGCCCTGCTTCAGGGAGACAGGTAGCTTCTCTCCATCCTCAATGTCGCGGAGGCACCAGCGTCGTGACCGCAGCCGTGGCCGCAGCCGTGGCCACAGCCGAAGCCCCAGTCGCCCCCTATGTCCATGACCTCCTGCCCCCTCACCACTCCCCCCAAGCCCGGTCTCTCGCAGAAGGACCTCCTGCTGGTCGCCCCCGTATTCCTGTCAGTGACGAACCGGCTGCAACCGCGCCCCCTGTTCCTGCTCCCCCTGCAGCCCATCCGCTGCCACCCAGCCTGCCCTTTCCGCCTTCCCCACCTGACATGGCCTCCTTTGCCCCGCTCTTGCAACTGCTCACCCAATCCTTGCAGCAGGTTGCACCGCCCGCTGCCCCTCCGCCCCCGCCTCCACCTGCGGAGGTGAATCAGCAGCTCTCATCGCTCCTCGTGGCTATCGAGAAACTCCCCCAACACGACCTTGATGAGTTGGTCTTCGGCACCCACGCAGCAGGGCAAAAGCTCCGTGAGGTGGCCTATGGTTGTCCCCCGCACCTCAGGCCAGATACCCCCAATGATGCCTCGACCTTCATTGATGACCGCAAGGCGTGCAACTCAGAAATGATGCGTCGATGCAGGGCTCTTTGCACGTCCTCTACCCGCAAGGCAATGGCTGATGGAATTCACGAATTCTGCCCCTACATCATGCGCTCTCAAGCCCGACGGAACTTGCAAAAGATCATCCCCCTCATCCCTCTTGAGGCGGACACCTTCAACTTTGCTGTGTTCCTGACATGGCTGGACAAGTGCTCCCCCTACAACATGCGAGGCAAGGACAGCCTCCCCCGCATGATCCAGAAGGTTGCAATGTCGATTGCGGATGAGGGCCAGGCAGCCCTAGAGGCTGTTGCCGCATCAAGTGACTTGACCTCTGTCCCCGCTGATGCCATTCGCGCCTTGGCGCAGAAGCCCAAATCGGACGCAGATCTCCCCAGCCCTCAGCCAGCAATCACCCTGACGCTTGCTGACCTCAAGAACTTCCATCCCGACAGGCTGCACTCGGGCAAAAACTACCGAAGCATTGAGTGGGCCATCGATGAGACTGCCCTCCCTGATGACTCTCCCCAAGCCATGAAGTCCCGCTTCAAAGTGTACCTCGCAGCCTTAGCTGAGCTTACCAAGGCGCCCAAGTACCGTCGGACTGACAAGAAGGCAAACTCTCAAAAGTTGCAGGACCAGTCCGCCCTCGCCGAATTCAAGCGCATCTCTGCCAAGCTCGGGGAAAAGTTTGATGAATCCAAAGCCTCACAGATCAGCACCATCGTGGCCGCGGTGAAAGCTCGCTGCGACCACCATGAGTCTTGACTACGGCCCAACGCACGGTCAGCTGGAGGCTTTTGGGATGTGCACAGTGACAGCATGCCGTGCCTCTCAAGACCCCCCACCATGAGAGCTGACCTTGAAGCCATGCTTGCCTTTCTCCGTGATTTGAAGTCCTCCCTGTATAGCTCCGGGGATCCGTTACCCTGGCGTGCGATTTTCCAGATTCACAGCATGTCAATGATGCTGTCCGCCCATTTTCTTATGTCGTCCTCACGGCGTTGTCACGCGAAGCTCCGTGCTTTGGCAACCACTCTGCCTGGCAGCACTTGGAAGCCTCAGGCCCATCTTTTGGTAGCATCCCACGTTGTCTACATGATTTGGTCTCCCCACCGATCGCTCTTCTACATCGGCAAGGCCACGCACTTCCAGGACAGATTGCGTCTCCACCTCATGGGCCTACTTCGCCCAGAGCGTTATGAGCAACAGCCTTACATGCGAGTCCTTTGCAACCTGCACCACGGCAACAATCTCCACGCTGCTGCGGAGTTGTTCTTCCTCCCCATCGCGTGTTGCAGCTCCCCTGCGCAATGCTTGTCCTTGGAGGCCCATGTCATTTCCAGAGAGCAGCCCCCCTTGAATGAACCCCGCGTTCTCAGAAAGATCCCACTGGAGCACTGCCCACCTCCTCTCGTTGGCCGGGCCTTACGCCAACGTCTGGCCCGAGTGAGCCTGCTCTGCCCCACACCTCCTGCCCGCCTCACTCAGCATGCTCAGCACCCGCAGGCCACGCTTTCAAGAGCCGGACCAGCAGCTGCAGCCCTTGACGCCTTGCCTGTCCCCTTCGACCAGGTGGTCAAAGCGTGGTGGATTGCAGGTGCCTGTGGTCACTTGCCCCATGGCGAGCTTCGCCGCTGCCGATCCCAGCTCTTCTGCATCACCGTCAGGGAGTGGTTTGCTCTCTTTCGCCATGTGTGCCGGAAATGCGAGGGCCACGCTCGCAGTACAGGCCTGGCCTTCCTCCACAAGGTCCGCCTGTTCCGCAAATGGCCCCGACCCTTCACCACCATCCAAGCTACTCTGCCTTGGGTAGGTGAAGGTGGCGTCACCCATGTCTTGCGCCGAGTGCTCCGCGAGCTCCTGTCCAAGATCCAGCGCACTGAGCACAAAGACATTTCACCATTCCTGAGAGAGGCTGGCATCCTGGCCAACACCAAGCCCGCGGCAACTCTCCGCAGCTGCCTCCGCACAGTTCCTGCCTTCTACAAAATGCGAGCACTTCCCCCTGCTGCCTCGCTACCCATCTCCGGATGGCCTCGCCCATGTTTTTGCCCCTCAGGACTCTTGGGATTGGCCACCTCACATGGAGCATTACAGGCTGGCCCCCTCACACACAGCCCTTCGACCATCCGCCCAAACCATTGTGCGGATATGTCGGCAACTACTCCTCCGACTGCTGGCCCGATTGTGCATCACGCTCCCCAGCACCTCCATAGATGAGCTTGCAGCCAATCTTGCCCAGGGGCTCCTCCCTCTGTGCCCATGTGCTGCCCACACCTTTGAGGAGGTGGACCTCCTGGCCTTCAGGCCAAATGGGGCTTGTTCGTCGAAGAGTTCCAGAAGACCCGGCACGTCCTTGTTGCTGAGTGCCCCCGAAGGGTGCCGGAAGCTCTTTGAAGTGGATGATCCTGTCAGGTTCCGATATCACTCCCAAGTCGCTGAAACGGCTGTCCTGAGCCAAGTCGGCTGCATCCCCGGCCGGCCTGACCACCTCCAGCCCCCCCAACTCTTTCCCAGAAGACTGTGGAAGATGGCTACCGCGTCGGCCCTCAACAAGAAGGTCAGCAAGCCGGATGACCGGCGCCCTCTCATTGACAGATCCCAGTGGCCAACATGTCGGCTGGACGCCTCGGCCTCTCGGGCAATTGACTGGTTAAGCGCAGAGCTCATCCCCTCTCATGTGCACTTGGACATCCAGCGGACTGACTCCGTCATACCCCTGGTGAAGGCCTTCAATGAGTCTCCCCCCCACACCCCCGTCCAGAAGGTGGGCTCTGACCTCACCTCGTGTCATGCTTCTCGAACATTCCCCACGCTCTGGTCTGGAGAGCCTGGTCCTTCTATCGTGCTTGTGCTGCTGGCCGGGTCCAGGGTATCACAGCCCGTGTGCGCCGTGGACGTGCCCTTCCTCACCATTTCAAGCCGGGCTGGAAACCTGGCATGGTCAGTTTCAGGATCCACGAACTGGGTGGTTCAGCTTTGGTGGGCTCATTGGCATCGAGCTCAACGGCCTGCCCATGGGCAGTTCCCTTGCCAACTCTCTGGCAAGAATGTGCCTGATTTTCTGTGATGCTTGCTTCCACGCGTCGCTGTACGACAGTACACGTCCTCCACCCCACCTGCGCACCAGGCTCCGCAAGATCCGGATGGAGGCTGTTGACGTCACCTTGCTGGAAATGAGGTTCATGGATGATTACATCTGCTTCTGGAAGACCCCGTCTGGCACGCATTGCGCTCCTTCTCGGTCAAGTTGTCCGAAAACGCTACCCCCAGGTCCATCTCTCTCCCACCCTGAGCTCCGCAGGGCAACCTTACGATCGTGCTCTGGCACGCTCAGCTCTCATGCCCTTCCACAGTTGGGTGCCCACATCAGTAAAGAGGTCCTTGCTCTATGGCATCATCGCTCGGGTTGAACAGTTCACCGTCCCGGAGGTTGAGCGTGCCAATGTTCTGGCGCACTTCCCGCGTATCCTGGAGGGCCAGTTCTTCCTAAGACATCTTCTCCACGAGTGGCTTCGACCAATTTGCCATCAGAGAACTTGGGTTGCTAGTGTTGACGCGTGACAGTGCCCTGACACGGCTTCAAAGAGGCGCTTGCCTGCTGCCTGGTTTTTGGGTGACTCTTGTTTTTTCCCCCCGCCCTTTGCTGGCCTGTTGCTCCAAGGTACCCGTTTTTCTTGAAGCTTTTCTTGAAGCTTTTCTTGCTGCTTTCTGAAGTCATTGGCGTCATTGCCAGTATCAACCTTTCAATGGCGCAATGCCACCTTCAAACCCCCGCAACCCCTCGGTGCAGTACGTGCGGCCCGAGGGGGAGGCGGGCTGTGTGCCTTTGAAGTCCCTGCGCACAGTACGGGGTGGGCAACCCTCAATGATTCAGCTTTTCAACTCTTCATCGCCACAATGGCCACACATTTCCTCATCCATACCATTATTCAACACCTTTCTGGGATTTGACAAGAGCTAAAAGTCGTGGTTTTGGAATGTGTTTGGCTGAGTTTGCAGTAGTCCGTTGATTCTCTTGGTTGGGGGTGCCTGTTGCCCTGCCTTACACATCTTTTGCTCTTGGCCGCGTTTTGATTTCACCGAACATTTATTTTGTTGTGAGGAAACTGGACACCCACTCAGCAACCATTCGTGAGGATTCACCGCGTTTCTGGCAAGAAGTCCTGACAAAACGAAAATTGTTGCCCCTATAAAGTTCCACCATGGTCATGCATAGTACCAGTAGAGCCGGCGAAGCCGGTGGACGGAAGTTTCACAATATGTCGCAATTCTATTTCTCTTTCTCTGTGCATTCCTTTCTCTTTGACTTTCTTTCCCTTTCTTCTATCTTTTTGTCTTTTTTGTTCTGTCTCAGTCTCTCTTTCCCTTTTTCTTTCAATTATCTTCTGTCTTTTTGTCTTCTTTCTTTATTTCTTCCTTCCCTCCTTCCTTCCTTCCTTCCTTCCTTCCTTCCTTCCTTCCTTCCTTCCTTCCTTCCTTTATTTGCTTTTCTTTTCTGTTCTTTTCTTGTTTTTTCTTTTCTTTCTTTCTTTCTCTCTCTCTCTCTCTCTTTTTCTTTTTTTCTTTCTCTCTTCTTTATCTTTCTCTTCTTTCTCGTTCTCTTGCTCTCTTTCTCTTTCTGTCTTTCTCTTGCTCTTCTTCTCTTCCTCTTCCTCTTGTTCATCCGCTACGAAATCTGCACCCAACCTTGCGAAAGTGCTGTGCTCGCCACGCAAACCAATGTCGCAAAAAGTGCGCGCCTCCCTCCCATTGGGCTTGTCTCCGCATGCGCTCCGAGATCTCTCTGACCTCGCGATTTCTGTTCCCCCGCCACGAGCGCACGCATTTTTGGCGTGCACACTTTTTGTTCTTTGGTCTGCGTCGGAGAGCTGGCTTTCAATCAGTTGGCACACCACATGAAAAGCCAAACATGCAACTTGTCCGTGGATTTGGTGAGTGTCCGCCCAGGCAGCCGGCCAGCCCCCAGCTCGCCTAATGCCCAACGTGCGCTCAGGACTTTGCTCCCCAAGTGGCGGCAGTACGCCGTGGAGGACGCGGAAGGCGGCTCTGGCGGCGGCACCCACGACGTGCAGACCGCCGTGCTGAAGCAAGTGGAAGCCGCCCGGGCCAGGTCTCCCCTTGGAGGTCTTGTCATGTTCCGTGTGAAAGCGCCAGTTTTTCATGGAGCATCATGGACTCGTGGCGTTATGTCATGGAAATGGGAGACTGCAAATGATGGTTGAAGATCCCACTTGTCCACTCAGTTGGCGGTGATACATTGGATTTTCCCTTAGGGTACTTGCTGCGATTTTGGCTTTGCCAAAAAATGACAGGAATTTGGGACCGCCGGCCACCCTGATCTTCTGACTCCGCCGTCAGTTTTGCTCTTGTTGATGAATCGTGAATCTGGGCAAATTGTAGCGACCTCACAAGGGGGTTTGCGACCTCAGCCATGATCTCAGGTGTGGGACCATGCGGGACCCTTGAAGTTTTTCCTCCGCATCAGTGGTGTTCGGGCGCGAAGCAGGGGTTCCCAATCTTGGAACAGGGGCTGTCAGATCCCAAATTGTTGGTTCGGACATGGCGCACAAGCATTGAGAGCCCTCTCAATTGGACAGCCTGAAGGAGTTCGAACCCAAGGGACGAAGCGACCGAATTCCGCCGCCGAAGAGATGGTGGGGGGCTGGGTGCTTGGTGTTGGTGGGTTGGCTTTCATTGGTGGCATGAGTCCACTCCACACCATGACAAGTTGTTCTTTCTTTCGGGGCCTACTCTTATACAGCCGCTTGGTTTCGTTTAGCACCCGTGTGTGGGGCGCCAGGATTGCCACCAATGAACCAGGTTGTATTTCGCTCACAAACATCAGCAAGAGAAGTCTGTTCTCCACGGACAAAG